AAAGCATTTTGGAAATGCAAAGTACACTTATGAGTTTTATTTATGTGAATTTATGTATGTAAATTCTATATTTTTGTCACATTTATGACTTTTAGAAAAAAGCTCTCAGCAAAATATAGTAAGAATGAGCTCCCCATGAGTAGCGCCCCGAAGGCCTCAGAGGCATCTGCAGTGGAACAGTGGGTAGCTCCTTAATCTTCCGTCTTAGAAATCCTACAAGGAAATTACTTATCTTAAAAACAAATAAAATATTAAAAGCTTTTTCTCTGAAATCCGGACAAGGATGCCCATTATCACCATTTCTATTCAGTGTTGTAGTAGAGGTCTTAGGTAGTGCAGAGAGACAAGAAAAGTAATAAAAGGTATAAAGATTGAAAAGAAAGAAATAAAACTGCCATTACTCACAGATGACCAAAATGCACATGTAGAAAATCTGAAGGAATCTACCCATAAACTTTTAAAATTATTAAGTGGACTTAGTACAGGGTCACTTATAAGGTCACTAGTACAAGGTCATTTACAATAATTGGTCATATATATACTAAAAACATTATTACAAAATGAAATTTTCAAAAAGTGATGCTGTTTTGGTACTATTCCTACTATTTACAGTAGCACTAAAAAACATTACTTAGATGAATCTAATAACCTGTGCAAGACCTCTACATGGAATACTTAAAACAATATTGAAGATCATTGAAGAGCTAAATAAGTAGATATTTCAGGTTCTTAGATTAGAATATTCAATATTCTAAAACTGAAGTTTCCTGAAATTGTTCTATAGAATCAACAGAGTCCCAGTCTCAGCAAAGTGTTAATGGAAACTGAAAAGGTAATTCTAAGAGTTACATAAAAATGCAGAAGACAAAGAGTAGCCAAGTATTACAGAATAATACTATAGAATGTCAAGACTTTTTATAAAGCTACAGTAATTAAGACAGTATAGGATTGACACGAGAATGAACAAATTGACCAGTGGAGCAAAATAGGGAATATATTAAACAGAAACACCCCAACATATGTGGATACTTGATTTAAGATAAAAATAACACAAGAGCAGCGGATAGAAGATGTTTTTTTCAATAAAGGATGCTGGGAAAAATTAATCTTGACCTCTACCTTATACCATTTACAAAAGTTAATTCCCATTGACATATAGATCTATATGTAAAAGGGTAAAACAATAAAACAATAGGTTTGTTATTAAGGTTAAAACAAACTTAAAACAATAAAGCTTCTAGAAGATAAGAGAATGTCTTCATGACCTTGAAGTATAGGGAAAGATTTCTTGGGATGGGAAAAACATTATCTATAAAGTAAAAAATTAATAAAGTTAGAACTTCTGTATATCAGGAGATATCATCAAGAGAGTAAAAAGGACTATAAATTGGTTAAATAACTTTGGAAAGTTGTCTAATGCTATCTAAACATTTAAACATCTACTGAACATATTCATAACCTATTACCTAGAAATTCTCCTCTTAGGTGGAGTAGAATTTCTAACAGAAATACATACGTGCTCCCAAAAGACATCTACAAGAATGTTCATGGCAACATTCTTAATAATTAAAAAAACTAGAAACTACTCAAAATCAACAAGAGAGTAAATAAATGGTATTATACTCACACAGTGAAATACTATACAGTAATGAAAATGAACAAACTACACATGAGTACAATAACACGAGTGGATCTCATAAACATAATATTGAGCAAAAGAAGCCCAACATGAAAGAATAAACTCTGTTGATTCCCTTTATCTAGAATTCAAAAAGAAGCGAAACTCATCCACATTGTTAGCATTCAGGACAGTAGTAATCTTTTTTTTTTTTTGAGACACGGTCTTGCTCTGTCTCCCAGGCTGGAGTGCAGTGATGCGATTCCAATTCACTGCAACCTCAACCTCCCTGGCTCAGGCGATCCTTCCATCTCAACCTTCTGAGTAGCTGGGACTAGGCGCATGCCACCAAATCTGGCTAATTTTCTTTTTACTTTATTTATTTTTGTAGAGAAGAGGTCTCACTATGTTGCCCAGGCTGGTCTCGAACTCCTAGGCTCAAGCAATCCTCCCAGCTCAGCCTCCCAAGTGCTGGGATTACAGGTGTAAGCCACTGTGCCAGGCAGGATAGTGGTAATCTTTAAGAAGGAGGAAGAAATAGTGACTGGGAGGAAATACTAGATCTTGGATGCTTGTAGTGGTCCATTTCTTGACCTAGGTGGTAGTGATATCACCTAGATTTTGAGCACTTGTATGTGAATTATGCTTGAATTAAAAAGTTTCCACAACAGCTTCTGAAGCCTAGTCTACCTCTTGAGAGTTAACTGTGGAGCCCAGAGCTGAAGGCTCTGAGTAGTGGGTTAGGATGGGAAATTGATATCTTTCATTATGAAATGAGACTGGTACTGAGAGTAGCTTCTATTGGTCTTTAGGCTTCACACTATTTGCCCCAGCACTAGGGGCTATCCAGCTGTCATGCAAGCCCGCGTCAGGAAGCAGGAGAGAGTCGTAGATCTTATATGTAACAGAGCACGGTCTGTGTGTAGTGCTCATTCACAGTGCAAGGAGATGAAGGGCAGGGAGTGAAGGAGTGTGCTCCTTCTTTACCAGTTATTGAAGTAGCTCCTGGAGCCATTAAACATTACTCCCTTATCTAATACACACTGTATCTTGAAGCAAGTTGGGAAAAACTGATATTCAGGTGGAGATAGAGGGTCCTAATCATGGAACTGCCTTTTCAGTCTTCATGAGTGACTATGACTGTAGCTTGGTCTTTTCATCAGTTTGTGGTATTAGAAAAATTCAGGTCACAACTTCCTAGAGCACCAAAGCCCTAGGCTTTCCAAATGCTTCTAAGGTATCATTGGTTAAGTATGGAAAGTTAATTTGGCATTCAGTAAAGTAGTTGAAGGTTATGATTTATGTGACCATAAACTAGATTTCCTCTCCCTCCTCTCGGCACTGGTTCTTATCAAGATAAGGGATAAGAAGTTCTGGAAATGGATAGTGGTGGTAGTTGCACAACATTGGGAATGTACTAAATGCCACTGGTTTGTACACATAAAAAAGGATAGCATGAATCCCAGCACTTCGGGAGGCCAAGGTGGGCGGAGCACCTAAGGTCGGGAGTCCGAGACCAGCCTGACCAACATGGAGAAACCCCATCTCTACCAAAAATACAAAAATAGCCGGGTTTGGTGGCGCATGTCTGTAATCCTGGCTACTCGGAAGGCTGAGGCAGGAGAATTGCCTGAACCCGGGAGGCGGAGGTTGTGGTGAGCCGAGATCGCACCACTGCACTCCAGCCTAGGCATAAAGAGCGAAACTCTGTCTCAAAAAATAAATAAAAAATAGAATAAATAAATAAGGATACCATGGGCCGGGCACAGTGGCTCATGCCTGTAATCCCAGCACTTTAGGAGGCCGAGGCATGTGGATCATCTGAGGCTGGGAGTTCAAGACCAGCCTGACCAACATGGAGAAACGTCTCTGCTGAAAATACAAAATTAACCAGGCATGGTGGCACATGCCTGTAATCCCAGCTACTCGGGAGGCTGAGGCAGGAGAATTGCTTGAACCCTGGAGGCAGAGATTGTGGTGAGCCGAGATCGCGCCATTGCACTCTAGCCTGGGCAACAGAGTGAAATTCTGTCTCAAAAAAAGGATAACATGGTAAATTTTATGTTAGGTGTATTTTACCAAAATTTAAAAATCACCAGCCGGGCGTGGTGGCTCATGCCTGTAATCCCAGCACTTTGGGAGGCTGGGGCGGGCTGATCACGAGGTCAGGAGATCGAGACCATCCTGGTCAACACGGTGAAACCCTGTCTCTACTAAAAATAAAAAAAAATAGCCGGGCGTGGTGGCAGGTGCCTGTAGTCCCAGCTGTTCGGGAGGCTGAGGCAGGAGAATGGCGAACCCGGGAGGTGGAGCTTGCAGTGAGCCGAGATCACGCCAATACACTCCAGCCTGGGTGACAGAGCAAGACTGCATCTAAAAAAATATATATATATCACCAAAAAAAAAGATATAGGCTTAGTAGTTAGGAGGTTATAAATACAAAATCTGTTTAGTGTAATATTTCTAAGTAAACTAAAAAGGGAAATGACTCTGAAACCTGCCTATCTTCTTGCATTTATTAATCTGTATGTATTCTTAAATGTTATTTTCCCAGCATCATATCCTGTAACTTTATAAGCTAGTATTTTGAAGTAAGTATCAACATGTAGTGTTATTAACTATTTAAACTCATTTGACATTTGAACATATTGTTCTCATGCCAAAAATAATTTGGTTTTGGTTTTTAGCCTTTCACCATCTCAGGCAGTCTAATATTGGCATGGTCTATTCTCTGATGTCATCTCAGTGATCTGTGAATTGTTGACAGTTTCACTTGTCATTCTCATAAGGTTGACATTAATCCGGTAATCTTACAATCTTTATTTCAAGTTGTGGAAAAGTAATGTATAAGGCAAGTTCAACAGAGGCCTTTTAAAGAATTCTACATAATATTTTTATTTTCTAAACTTATTCAGCAGAAGTCTGCAATATCAGTGAAAGGGGCTTTTTCCAAAAAAGACTACAGATCAGTGGATGAGTTAGCTATTTTCACCATCTAGGGATTTTCTTCTCAATCCCTAAAGAATTCAGGAGTTGAAACTAAGTTCCATATTTGAAATATGTTGACCAGGCACAATGGCTCATGCCCATAATCCCAGCACTTTGGGAGGCTAAGGAAGGAGGATCGCTTGAGCCCAAAAATTTGAGACCAGCCTGGACAACAAAGTGAGACCCGGTCTCTACAAAAATAAAAATTAAATTAAAAAAGAAAAGAAATATATCTTACCCTTCAACTAATATGTTTCTGAATCTTAGAAAATTACTATGATATTAAATTCAATTTCTTATATTCTCTCTCTCCCTCTTCTCTCATTTCTTTCCCCATCTCTTCCCCTCTGCTCCTTCCCCCAATCATTCCCTTCTCCCTTCTATGTCTCTGAAGCTATCCTGGCCTTTTAGTTGTACCTCAAGCTGTACAGGACAGTAGTTTACCGAGAGTAGCTCGCTGCTATCGACACAATCGCCTGCCTGTTGTATGTTGGAAGAACTCAAGAAGTGGTACTCTGCTCCTCCGATCTGGAGGATTCCATGGGAAGGGAGTCGTTGGTCTTTTCAAATCTCAAAACTCCCCTCAGGCCGGTAAGCATCTCTCTATAACACAATTACCACCCGTTCACATAAGGGTATTACTAAAAATAAAGGAAGTAAAATCTGGGAATGGAACCTTTTCATCAAGTCTTGTCTCACACACGAACTTTTCCATTTTGCTACATACAACATGTACAGCTTAAACAAGAACTATACTTGGTAGTGTGAGGCTCCACATTGAATTTGACATCTTAATATGTCTGGTCTGTACTAGGATTTTAATAGAAATTAATATAATAAAGTCTTTGGTCCTAGGCAATTTTCATTCCAGCAAACCAGAGTATCCACAGATGGAAACTAGGTTATACCAATCTTTTTTCTTCTGGGAAGCATCCAAATACATTTAACAGCTTCAGAGGCAAGATGAGATTCTGTGCCATATGATATGAGATATCCGTCCTCATTCTTACAAGTCATACGCACAAACTAATGACTGCAAATGCTGCTTCAGGGGCTTTCAAGCAAAGAGGTTTTTAGGAAGCTAGCGAAATAATACGTACAGCTGCCCCATATTCTGAGGCTGCTTGTGAGTACCATGTCTGAGGTCTTGAAGTCAGGAGCTGTGTTTTGCTGACGTTTCTCATAGCTTCTGCCGCATAATAGATACTCAAAAAAAAAATGAAAGAGTGGGCCACTAAGATATCAGATCCAATTTAGGGATGGCTGCGTTCTTCCACCTTTGGAAATGAAGTAAACTCAGAATCTGATTCATCAGGTACAACCATGTGCTTTTTGAAAGTCAGCCAATGTTTTGATCATTAGGTTGACTGAGGGCAGCCTTCCACCTGCCTTGGAGTCTCACTATTGGTGTAATGGAAGGCAATTGACTTTTTACTGTTTCTCCTGTGAAACACTGTGTGCTCCCAAGCCACCTGGTGGGTATATTAGAACATAAGAAGGGGCCAGGTGCAATGGCTCATGCCTGTAGTCCCAGCTACTTGGAAGGCCAAGGTGGGAGGATTGCTTGCGCCCAGGAGTTCAAGACCAGCCTGGGCAACATGGCAAAACCCCATATCTACAAAAAAGTACAAAAATTTAGCTGGGCATGGTGGCATGCACCTGAGTCCCAGCTATTCCAGAGGCTGAGGTGGGAGAATTGTTTGAGCCCATGAGGTAAAGGCTATAGTGAGGCACAGTTGCGCCACTGCACTCTAGCCTGAAAGAATGAGACACTGTCTCAAAAAAATTAAATAAAATAATAATAAAATAGAACACAAGTGTATATAAGTTATGTAAAATGAGCAAATGATGTTAGGAGCACCGATAAGTGTATCGCTAAGCTTTTAGTTGGAAAACAATTGAAACTTATTCCACTGGTTGCTGATTTTTTTTAATTTAATTTAAATTTACTGTATTTCATATTCAACTCACACCTTTACTCACAACTAATATCTTTTTTTGTTTGTTTTTTGTTTTTTTGTTTGTTTTGTTTTTGTTTTGAGACAGAGTCTCACTTTGTTGCCCAAGCTGGAGTGCAATGGCACGATCTTGGCTCACTGCAACCTCCGCCTCCCAGGTTAAAGCGATTCTCCCACTTCAGCCTCCCAAGTAGCTGGGATTACAGGCGCCCACCACTACGCCTGGCTAATTTTTGTATTTTTAGTAGAGACGGGGTTTCACCATGTTTGTCAGGCTGGTCTCGAACTCCTGACCTCAGGTGATCTGCCCGCCTTAGCCTCCCAAAGTGCTGGGATTACAGATGTGAGCCACCGCGCCCTGCCGACAACTAATATCTTTGAAATTGCAATGCATCTTACAGTTGATGTGATCAGAAAGAACAGTGTCATAGTTTAAATGGCAGTGTTTTTTATTGATAAGCAGTGTTTATTCTTAGACAATAAACTAACAGTGCATCTTAGAATTGATGACATATTAAAGTTGATAAAATACAATAATGCTAATTATTTATTTTCTATTCAGATTGTAAGAAAATTTATGAATATCTATTGTCCTTGTAGTGAGTCCATCCCCTATTCCTCTTTTAAAATGTCTGGGCTGATTTCAGTGATTCTGTTTTGCTTCACCCAAACCAGGCTCATATGCCCATCAACCCAGAATTGCTCTTACAATTGTGTATACTTTTTGCTCCTCGTTTAGACGGACCAGGGATTGGCAGTAGTTGCTCCTGTCTTCTCCCCATGTTCTTCCACTCTTCCCTCTACAAATCCTTATAGGCTCATGTCCCCTGGTGGGACTGTGTGGCAAATAATTGAAATAAAATTACTGATATTGGAAAGTTCTTAACTCTACCCATTCTGGGATGTCAAAGGAACCCACTCCCAAACAATAACCTGGTAAGGATGGTTGGAGGATATCATCAAGGAGTTGTTGTTTGTAAATCTTCATTTTAAGTTGCTTGGATAATGAGAAGCTATGCCCTGTGCTTTCAAGCCCAATCTATGCTTGGAAGGATAGCCCTGTGCTGGTTTTCCAGACCTGGGCTCTTTCTGAAAAGATAATGAGGCAATCAAGAAGTAGGTATGGTAAAACCAGCATTACAATGGAGGATTAGCCATTTAATATACTGGCAATCTAAGTGGGGCTGGTTTCTATATTTGGGTGTGGTAACTTGTATACTATATAGAGAAAAATAAGCATAGATAGATAGATAGGTAGGTAGATAGATAGATAGATAGATAGATAGATAGATAAACTTGTTTTGTTAATACAGAGACAGTTTATTTTATTCAATATATTTTCCTTTTATAGCTCCTGCCTCCTCTTTAGAATCTTCCAGTAGCATAGAACAAGAGAAATACTTGCAAGCCTTACTGAATGCTGTTTCTGTCCATCAGAAACTCAGAGGCAACAGCACTCTTACTGTCAGACCAGCCTTTGCTCTATCTCCAGGTAAGACTTGATAATCCTTTTCTTCTTGACAGCTTCTAATGAAAGGTCAATTCTGTTCCCAGGGTTATTTGTACTGTTATTTGTTATTTGTACTGTTCCTTCACCAAGACTTCTTAAAAGTTTTACCCGGAAGGATTATAAGTTTAACTCCTTTTACTTAAAAATCTACTACTATTAATCTCTAGTAAATAGTAACGAACTTTAGAGATTCAGTTTTTTCTTTCTTTTTTTTTTTTTTTAAAGATGGGGGTCTCACTATGTTGCCCAGTCTGGCCTCTAACTCCTGGGCTCAAGCAGTCTTCCCGCCTCAACCTCCCAAAGTACTGGGATTACAGGTGTGAGCCACCACACCCAGCTCAGTTTTTCCCTTTTCAAAAGAGTAATTGGAGAGGAAGTGAGGAATATAAATAAAGTCACCCTTTATTCCCACATTTATCTTTCATAGACTTTAAAATATTATTATGACATGGAATATGTAAGTGGAACATGTTTATTAAATGTGTATTTATTTAAATCATCATTTATAAGTTTGAAATTCCCAAAATATCTGCAACCTTTATGATTTTCAGTACAGTTTGTTTTCACTGGATTTGGATGAGGCCATTAAGACTTGTACTAATATTCTGTTTCAGTTATCATGTGATGGAACCCCAAAGGGTTCATGTAGAGGTAACCCTAATGTGTTAGACACAGGAGCATGTGACTTGAGAAGCTGGTCTCTTTGGCTTAATCAGCTATTTGAATTAGCTCAACATAAGCAGAAAGTGGCTTTTCTTGTAAAGTAACACCATGCATGCCTTGCTCCATTTATCATTAAATTCTGTGATTGCACTTGCCAAACCTAACTCTCTATAATCTTGCATATGTGTGTTATCTCTGATTAATAATAACATTGCCTTGTTATCTCTAATAAAGCTTTGGGTACTTAAAAGTACAATGTTTGGCAGCAATTAAACATGCTACACATGAAGATAACTTTTTGTCATTTGAGTAATGTTAACCCAAACAACATGGTTTTTGTTCTTCTTTTTGGCTGACTTTAGGGACTGAAAGGAGGACTTCAAGAATGTCCACTGTGCTTAAGCAGGTAGTGCCAGGACATTTGGATGTAAACCCATCCAATAGCTTTGCTCGAGGAGGTTAGTAAGATTGATTTTATAACTGAGCACTGATGCAAGCTTAAAAGCAGAAAGCATTTTTCTAGATAGTTGATATTTTCAGTCAACTAATTATGGTTCAAATTGTTCTTAATTACCCTCTTCTGAATGAATGGTCAAATTTATTACTAGCATGATGACAGATGAACTTAGCCTCGTGGGACAAGAAGTATAATAATTGCTGATGTTATATATATTGATAAATTTGGGAGCATTAGGAGGTAAGGGGAGCATGTCTAAATGACGAGTCAGCCCTGGGAGTACTCCATGATACTCCAGATTTGCAGGGCAGAAAGACCAATCAATCACAGAAGTATAGATAGTTAAGGAGAAGTAATTCCAGATCCAAGGAACTCCAAGTCCTGTTATTTTTGCTCTTGTCCTCTGAAATACTGCTTTGGAGAATAAGACGTCGTGATATCCAGGTAGCTGCTGGCATGAGGAAATAGAGAAAGGCTAAGTATTCGTTCTCTTAAGCTCCATAAGGTCATCCACTTTGTTCTCTGGAAGTTTATGTGAGATTCTTTCACTCTGCAGAGGAAATTCCAGACCAGATTTTTTTTTTTTTTTTTTTTTTTTTAAGACAGGTTCTCACTTTGTTGCCCAGGCTGGAGTGCAGTGGAACTATCATAGCTAACTAACTGCAGCCTCCAACTCCTGGGCTTGAGCAATCCTCCTGCCTCAAGCTCCCAAGGAGCTAAGACTACAGGTGTGTGCCACCACTCCCAGCTCAATTTTTAAAATATTTTTTGGGACAGAGTCTTACTATGTTGCCCAGGCTGGCCTTGAACTCCTGGCCTGAAGCAGTCCTCCCACCTGGGCTTCCCAAAGTGCTGGGATTACAGGCATGGGAAAGCACCTGGCCCCAGATATCTCAACTGTGAAGTCCCACTGTCTCACAATAGAGTCACAGAATCTTAGACTTTTCCTCTCATCCCCATATAATGATGAATAGTCTTAAAAAGATACTAAGTAGGCCGGGCGCGGTGGCTCATGCCTATTATCCCAGCACTTTGGGAGGCTGAGGCAAGCAGATCACCTGAGGTCAGGAATTCCAGACCAGCTTGGCCAACATGGTGAAACCCTGTCTCTACTAAAAATACTAAAATTAGGCAGGCGTGGTGGTGCACGCCTGCAGTCCCAGCTACTGAGGAGGCTGAGGCAGGAGAATCACTTGAACCCGGGAGGCAGAGGTTGCAGTGAGCCGAGATCGCAACATTGCTGGGCAACAAGAGCAAAACAAGAGCCGAGATCACTCCAGCCTGGGCAACAAGAGCAAAATTCCATCTCAAAAAAATTACACACACACATATGTACACACTAAGCAAGTAATCTTGTTTCTGCTTGAATATCATCAGTAATGGGAAACTCATTTCTTCCCCCAAAATAATCCCTTATATTTGGGAGCAACTCTATGTGTTGCTTTCTCATATTGACCACCACTTTGACTTATTGGCCCTAGCTCTATCCTCTGAGGTTAGAACGTAAGTGTAATCTCCCACACCTAAAACCCTTCAGGAAAAACTCTTGTCAGGCTTGCTTTCTACAAAATTCACTCTTTAAAAAATTCACTTTTTTCCCTTTTGAAAACCATACACATCCCCAATATTGGCCCTTTGGATACTTTCTTTTCCTGCCTTTAGTTAACTCTGAATATCCCCAGTTCAAATGGTTGTAGTCCGCTCACCATCCTTACTGTGAACCCTCCACAGAGTTGAACCCAGCACTCTAGGTGTTCTCACAGCCTAAAACTGCATTCGGCTCCATCACTAGGTTAACCCATGTGGAGATTAATATCATTTGAAGTCCCTGTCTGCTTCATATGTGCTATTGTTCTTAAAAACATACTGGCCTTGATGGTTGCTTTTTGGACCCACTAGCAGTGTTATAACTAGGAAATTTCATGTTTTGGGATGTGGACTGGTATTTTAGACCTTTGGACCCTGATTCTGTCTAGCAGTGCATTTGCTGTTTTGCAAGCCTTTTGTCATCCATACATTTGATGATTGTTCTCATGTGATTCTTTGTTTAAAAAAATGTTGAACAAGCCAGAGCTAAAGACAAAGACCTACAGCAAAATAACATAAACCTCTCTGAAGAAAAAGATCAATCTGTTCATCTATACTGGTTATGAGTCTTCCCACTAAAACTCACCAGGCCCATATTTCTAAATCTCTGTCAGTCATTTTAATCCACTATTTGCCAGTCTTTCAAATAATTAACTGCATCACCAAGGGTTTTATAGTTACTTTGCTGTGACTTATTATAGGAATCAGTGCTTTTTTTTAAAAGTAATTATAAATAGTTCATTGATAATCCATTCCTAGAATTTGGTTCAGAATCAACATAAAGATTCTACTTTACAAAATTCACTTTTTTCCCTTTTGAAAACCATACACATCTCCTAGTGATCATACTGGTTTTTTGGATACTTTCTTTTCCTGCCTCGTCAGAACTTTCTGTAATTGCAAGATTTCCTAAGAGCTTTCAACCTTCTTGAGTCATCTTTCCAATTACTGTGTCAGGCCTTGAAGTCATTGTATTAGTTTCCTAGGGCTGCCATAACAAAGTGCTACAAATTGGGTGGCTTAAACAACTATTGTCTCACAGTTCTGGAAGCTGGAAGTCCAAGATCAGGGTGTCAAGGGGGTTGGTTCCTTCTGAGGGCTGTGAGGAGGAATCTGTTCCATGCCTTTCTCCTAGCTTCTGGAGGTTTGCTGGCCGTCTTTGGCATTGCCTGGCTTCTGGAAGCATTACCTAAATCTCTGCCCTCCTCTTACATGGCATTCTCCCTCTGTGTCTAGCTCCAAATTTCTCCTTTTATAAGTACACCAGTCATATTGAATTAGGGGCCCATTCTACTCCACTATGACCTCATCTTAACTAATTATATATATTCTGAGGCACTGGGTGTTAGGACTTAATATAAATTTTGGGAGGGGGACACATTTCAACCCATTACAGCCATATATTTCATTTTTCTGGATTTTTAGAGTACTACTATTTTAAAGTTTAAGATACAAACTTTGTTCTTCTCATCATTTCTTTCTCAGTGAATTTGAACTAAAAGATGGTACAGTGATTTTTCTCCTTAGGGTCCTGGTATTTCAGTTGCTAAGCACTCTTGTCAGAATTCGATTTGAGATTGCATTTCCCCTTACTGCTTTATTTACCATAGGAAAGTTTATATTGTCAGCAAGGCAAGTCAGTAATTTTTCCACTCAACTTTTAGAGAATGCAGCTTTCAGCAGATGTCTAGTTAATTGAAGCCCTTGCACCCACAACCTGATCTTGTATTTTGCCATTGTACACATCACCATGTTATCGATTCCAACATTTGGCGAGGTGGCCTATAATATAAATTGTGCTACACAATTGTCTCTACTTTTATGTTGGTACCAAAGGTTCACGGATTTTCAACAATCTTTTTCTTTTTCTTTTTTTTTGAGATGGAGTCTCGCTCTGTCACCAGGCTACAGTGCAGTGGTGCGATCTTGATCTTGGCTCACTGCGACCTCGGACACCCTGGTTCAAGCAATTCTCCTGTCTCAGCCTCCGAGTAGTTGGGATTACAGTCATGTGCCACCATGCCCAACTAATTTTTGTATTTTTAGTAGAGATGGGGTTTCACCATGTTGGCCAGGATGATCTCGATCTCCTGACATCGTGATTCGCCCACCTCGGCCTCCCAAAGTGCTGGGATTACAGGCGTGAGCTACTCCGCCCGGCCTTAACAATCTTTTTCAACTACATTATATTATTTTTTAACCCTGGCCTCCAGCTCTTGGCTTCTTTTATACAAGGGAATTCCCAGTAGTGGTTATATTCTTATGACTCCATTCT